CTTAGGGTTTCTGTATAAGGTAACTGGAAAGCATGCAGGGAATGGAACGGATAAGCATACATCTATAAAGTTATTTTGTTATTTTTCTTGCAAAGTATCCTGTACGGATTTCAATGGGATTATAATTGGGCTACAAGATTGCCTCATACAAAACAGCCCAAGAACTAAAATGGTGATTACCTTTTAAGGAAAGAAAAACATTTCTAGGCTCTGTATTTTAGTTAAAACTAAAAAATCCTCTTATGAAGGCACTACGCCGGCAAGGGAGCCTTTTTCCCCCTCACTTTTTTATTTTATATATAAAGTAGGCAACCCTCCCAACCACCAGCAAATCTCTCTCACTCAACAATCCCCCTCCATTAGGTATTCCATATTATTTATTTTCAGACTATAGCCTCAATGGCTACTTTAATCAGATCAGCAGAAACCAAAAACAATGCTGAGAAAATAAAAAAATATACTGCTGTTTAACTCATACGTCCCAATGCTGTTCATCTCCGTATTCACTGAGTTCTCCCGCGGTATACTCTTTCAAGTCAACGTTGTAAGAAATAAACCATAAGAACCACTAATGTCTAATTTACATGAGTTTGTGCACTGTGCTTAAACACAAAAGCTGTAGATCTGACAAAGTGGGTATTCACCCACGAAAGCTTATGCTCCAGTAAGTCTATTAGTCTATAAGGTGCCACAGGACTCTGTGTAGCTTTTTACAGGAGTAGAAAAGTAAGAGAAGATTGTCTCCACCCCACCCGCTTCATTTTATTTTCCAAAAAGATTTGTGCCAAACTCTTTTTAAAAGCAAAAAAACAAAACAAACGTTATGCAAAGGAGTTTGAGTACAACGTGTTCAGGGGACATTTTTCTTCATCTTATCTGCAAATCACTGAAGAAAACATTTGGGGGATGACTGATTCCCGAGTACATAGCAGTCCACAAATGCATAGAATAAGTCCTACAGCCAATTACCAGGACACATATAGCATTGTAAAAGCAGGTAACTAAGTGCAAATTATTATTAACCTGCCAGTAAAATACTAGTCAACAGAACAAAACCACAGGTCTCCAGACACAATCGAATGACTGGGAGTACTACTAATATAACAAGTACCTCTTATGTAGTGCTTGTCATCAGTAGATGTCAAAGCACTAGCTAAGTCATTAGTTTGTTTCTCATATTTATATATAGCCAGTTTTCATGACTATCCTGGAAACTCCAAGTAGGGAGATGTAGCAAAAAATGACTGGATAGGGAACGTGTCAAAGTGCCCCTAAAAGGCTCAGACAGCACCGCATTCTAACAGCTGAGCCGGGGGTAGTCCCTAAGCCACACGTTCCAAGCTTCAGGACTAGAGTCAACTCACAACGGATGTGTAATTCTCTGCTCTGGAGAACACTCTGGGATACCACATACATGAAAAGGGCTAGAGCATACAAGAACAATCCTGGTCTACATCATGCAACAGGCCTTTTGCACCAGTGAGAGATGTTAAGTATGAAACTGAAATAGAGTATTTCATAATTCCTGGTTTATGGACTTAGGAAAACAGACAGGTTTTTCTTTTGTCTGTTTAAAAATATTTTAATCGGAGCAGTTAGCACAAAAGATGGCATAAAGCAGAGGGAATCTGAAGTCTTCAGTCAAGAAAAAGACAAGCAATAAGGTCATAGTAATATCCACTGAAAATCTGAATAAGGAGAGATGTTGAGAAGGTAGTTAAGTTTGTACGTTTTGTTTTTCTGCATGGTTTCCTGAAGGGCAATTAGTCACATGCTCAGATAAGCCAAGTTCTTCTGATTTCAACTCATGCTAAGAGGGGGAAAATGATAGTAAAAAGGTAACATTCCTAAGTATTGAGCAGCTCAAAAAATAAAATAAAATACAGGGAGATCTTCAGACACCAGACGCATAAATGGACTGTGCTATTTAAAGTTACTGACAACACACATATTTAAAAAAAATAACGAAAGCAAATGTCCTAATAGGGAAGATAAATTGGAACAATTGTTACTGTTGTCACCCCTCATCTTCTTTCTGCTCTTGATGTTTCTGTGAGCTGAGTCAGAGTGTGCTTTCCAAGATCTCAGTCATGACTATCTGGCAGCCACTGAAGGTAAAACAAAAACCCTATGGCAGCAAGTCTCAGAGCCAGGGAAAACTGATTTTGGTCCACACTGTGGGACCAAAAATAGAAGTGTAGACGCTTGGGCTTGGGCTGGAGCCTGGGCTCTGGGTTTCAGCACTCCAGCTTGAGCCTGAATATCTACATTGCTATTTTTAGCCCTGCAATGCAAGCCCGCATCAGTTGACCCTGGCTCTCAAACTTGCTGCCACAAGTGGTTGTGTTTTATTCTGTTTTGCTGTGTAGATGTACCCTGAATAACCCCAAAGATAAATTCTAATTAATCTTTGGAAATAGACTTCCTACACCCAATCCACTAGAGAAAGAGAGATACATACTCCTGGCAGTAAGGCTTCAAATAAAGTTCTGTGAAGGATCCTTAGACAGAAAAGAACCTCCTTCTTTTCTAAATTCTGACACTTTTCTTTGCCTCTGCATCCCTAAATGATGTGCATTCTTGTTTTTGTAAACAATCCACAATAGGATTTGGATATCAATGTATCCAAACTGCAAGTGATTAAGTATATATGGCTGTTATCTATGCATTATGCCAAGGTAGACAGAATAAAAAATTAAAACCTGCTGAAAACGCAAATATTTACTACTTCAAGTTTTCAAGTCGTTGATATACAATTTCTTCTGTTTTGAGAAATTGCACTGATTCCAGCAGTATTCCTCATTTGAAGTTTAAGCAGTATACATGAGACTACTATAACAGAGAATTAGAGCCACTAAATAACCTCTATATCACACACAGCAATGTTTTCCAATACCTTCTGCATTAATAATTTTAATTATCACATCACTCTGTAGGAAAAAGATCTCTCCTCCACAAATAGGCACTGCTCACAGTATCTGAGCATTCTATGAATTAGATAGAAGAGTATGTTCAAAATATTCAGTATTTGAATTGTTTTTATGTATATTGGGGATGCAGTCACTATACAATCAGTGGAAATACCATGATAGATATCACAAGTTTTTGAGGTTCACATTTTTCTTTTATAAAATAGGATCACAAGATATGATATTTTCTGGTAAGTTTTATAATACCTATTTAATCTAACACTTTTTTTCTCAAGAGTTTAAGGGGAAAAAAACAAACCCAAACCACTATTCATATATGCTTTCTGCTCTACCATAATAGAGCTAATAGATGAAATACAAATTACCCAACAAATACTACATCGTCAGCTGTGCAAACACTGAAATAATAGGTGAATGTAATATTCTAGCAACTTTATCCACCACTAGTTACAAGCTTAAATATAAAATGATGCTATTAAATGCATGATTGCAACTTTAACTAAATATTACACTGGCAGTGTTTTTCTTCCATAATTGACACTTCAGAGCCTGCAGAAGTCAAATGTTTTCTTTATGAAAACTCTAGTAGACTTGGACATATCCAAGAAAAACCAAGTGTACAGCATTCAGTTGAAACTTAAAAAAAAAAGAATCTTACCATTAGATTCAAAGCAAGTTACAATTACACACACACACACAGAGAGAGAGAGAGAGAAAGAACCTGTAAAATCATTTTTGAAAAGCACTTAATTGTAAAACTCTTTCACATTACTAAATCTACTACTAATTTACTATTTAGCAAGAATATGAAGTGGTATCCTTACACATTTATATTTTTACATATGAACTATGAAAAATAGAGCGCATTATACTTTGTCAAGGCAAAACAATTAGCTACCTGTTTTGTAATACTAATGTAGCTCAATTAATAATGCAATTCTGGCCCTTACATTTTCAAAGTGGGGTGCAGGAATTTAGCCACCAGATTCTCATTGGCTTAACACAGGGGTGGGGAACCTACAGACTGTGGGCCAGATCCGGCCCACTGCTTCATTTCATCCAGCCCGCAGCAAGTCTCCGCTCTGTCGGGCCTCAGTGCTCCCCCTGGCAGGGCTGGAGCCACAAGCGCCAGCTCGCCCCACTGTGGGGCGAAGCTGGGGTTGTAAAAAGTCCAGTTGGCTCCACACAGCTCCCCAGAAGTGACCGGTATGTTCAGCCCCTAGGCGCAGGGATGATCAGAGAAGCTCCGCGAGCTGCCCCCACCCCCAGCACCGGTTACGCAGCTCCCATTGGCTGGGAACCATAGGGCGCTGGCAGTGCACACCGCGCAGAGCCACGTGGCCCCTCCACTTTGGGGCCAATGGCGGCCACTTCTGGGAGCAGCGTGGAGCCAGGGCAGGCAGGGAGTCTGCCTTAGCCCCACTGTGCCGCCGAACCAGGAGCCACCTGAGGTAAGCGCCACCCGACTGGAGCCCGCACCCCGAAACCGTGCCCCAGGTCAGAACCCCCTCTTGCACTCTAATTCCCTCCCAGACCCCGCACTCCCACCTGCACCCCAACTTCCTGCCCCAGTCCTGAGCCTGCTTCCACACTCCAAACCCCTTGGCTCAAGCCCAGAGCCCCCTCCTACACCCCGAGCCCACACCCCCAGCTGGAGCCCTCACCCCCTTCCCATGCCCCAACCCCCTCCCACACCCTGAATCCCTCATTTCTAACCCCACCCCAGAGCCTAGGGGAAGCCCCAAGCCGCCTCCTCCCTCCCCACTGCGGGGCTGTGTGTGGCCAGCGACTGATTTTTTCTGTGGGTCAGTGGCCCCTGATAGAAAAAAGGTTCCCCACCCCTCGTCTAAAGTATACCTAGAAGGCTCATTAGAGAAACACAGTTGTAATGGACCGTGAACCCAAACAAAGAACGGAACTTAATAAAACAAGAGCTGATACTTACTCCTTATTCTTGTTTTTAATGCAGGGATGATAAAGAACTTTGACTGCATTCCATGTGCCTGAAGACCTGGAATCAGGCCTCAAATTATTTTCAAACAAGGTAAAGACACTGCTGGATGCTGAATTTCCCATAGATTCCACCAATAAAGTGTCAGAATTTAAAAGCCACATCTGTGGATAGAGAATAGTTTATTTATAGAATACACCAGCAGCTTGAACTTGTTCTGTTACTCCGGATTTAAACCTGACCTGCTATGAGTAGGTGACATTAGGCCACATAAATCATGAAGCTTGATGTTTACTAGAGTATGACAATTTAAAAGTAGATTCTAACAAATCTTTAATGGATGTGAACTAACATTTTATGTTAAATAATCTGAAGTGTTCAAAGTGCTATAAGCTCCATTGGAGATAAATCAAGGGTTGTATAAATGATGCAGAATTTCTTGTGATCTGTGTTAGGAGCAACAGAACTGTGAATCTGCATTTCCTTTGTGGTAGTAGCATGTTCCCTCTGCTAGAAAAAGAAGAAACAGCCAAAAACTATTGTTCCAGTAGCTAATAGATGATTTTTCTAATTTTATATTTCAGTGATGTGTCAAGCAAATTGTGTTGAAACAGTCTAGTCCTGAAGACAGGACGGCAGTTGAGAGATTTCCCACTGGAGAGAAACGAGAGAAAGAGAGAGTATTTAAAACAGATTGGATAGAGCTAAAACAAACAGAG